GCTCGCGCCCGGGGGGGGGGGGGCTCGTAAAACCATCTCCGGGCGGAATCTAGGCGTCGCGCGACGTGCGCCAGAGCGACTCGGGAGAGGACCGCCCAGATGGTTGCCGGGAGGGCCAGGAGCGTTATGAGCACCCGGAGCCCGCCGTGCCGTGGTCCGCGAACGAGACGACGGAGGCGTCGCCGGGGCCCCGGCGTGGCTGACCGTGGGGGCACATCTTCCGTCGCGACGCGGGGGGCGCGCGACGCGGTCGACTCGGAAAGTCTGCCAGCAGATGGGAGTTCAACGCCGACGCTTGAGGGACCTGCCGACGCCCTTACCGGACGCTTCGCGAGAAGGGGACGTGCTGCTTCGGGCTTCGCGGAAGCGTCGTCGGGCCGGGCGGAGGCCTCAACAAAGTGACTTGTGTCGGAATGTGGGATTTTAGAATTTGACGTCTCACTAATCTCGCTCGTGTCTCGTGACATCTCTCGCACATCACGCGCGCCGCCGGCGCCCCGCGACTTGTTCCGCCCCGAAACTTCTATCGGCGTCGCGCCCGAGCCCCCACTTCCCCCCCGACACAAATTTGAGAGCGGCGGCGCCGTAGTTGTCGAGTCTCGACGAAAAGATCGAACTCGTGCGAGAGAGCCGTTAGAGTTTTATATTTTGTGCTTGATATAGATGAGGGCGCGCATCATCGCGTAGTCGCGAATGTTTTCAGACATGTCTGAATCGCGAACGAGCTTTCCATAATAGACCTTGCTCACCAGGGACACATGGACCCAGTCACAGCCCTTTGCCTTCGATAATATATAGCTGCGTCACGATGTCTTCGAAATCCGGCCTCGCGGCCGTGTCGTGAGACCAGGCGCGACACATGAGCGCACGCACTTCGACGGGCATCAAATCTGGCACTTTCGGGCGGGCCTGATCCATGCCGACTGCGTGCATGATCTGCATCGGATCGAGGCCGTCCCAGGGTTTTCCGCGGTCCCAGATCTCCCAGAGCACGATCGCGTAAGAATAGACGTCGCACTTCGCAGTAAAACGTGTTCTTGAGCTAAAAGCCTCGGGCGCTGTGAACGGAAACGTGCCGGAGATCCCAGCTCCTCCGTGCATGGTTGAGGTCGTCGCGATAGTCTTGAGTGCTTCTGATTTACTGATGCCAAAGTCCGTAATCTTGCACCGCCACTCGTGCGTCAGGAGCACGTTTTGACTCTTGAGGTCGCGATGCAAGACACCCTCCTTGTGGAGATAGGCCATGCCGATGGCGATGTCCTTGGCCCAGATGATCTGCGTCTTGGGCGTGATGGCATCGCCGCGCGCATCGTCGAGGACGCCGCGGAGCGACCCGTTCGGCAGGTACTGCGTGACGATGCCGAGAAAACTCGCATCCGTGGTGCAAATGCCAACAAAGTCGACGGTTCGCGGGTGCTTGCGCAGCTTATCCATGATGCCGACTTCTTTTTTGAAATTGGAGACAATCTTGTCGCGCGCGGACTGCGCTCCGACGCCGACCAGTAAGAACTTCTTGAGGCACACGGTTTCGCCACCAAACTCCGCTTTGTGGACGCTGCCCTGGCCACCGCCCGCGAACGGCTCCACCTCGACGAAATCGAGCTCGATCTCGTTGTCCTCCATGTGCGCGTTCTTGAGACGGCGCGCGCGTTCCCATTTCGTCAACTTCTGCACCTCTTCGATCAGCGTAGCGTGACCCTGCTGCATCTTGCGATTGGAGTCTAAGACCTTGTCATGGGAATCCAAGAGCTCGCGATGGGAAACTAAGATCTGGGCCAGGCCCTGGCGCACCTCGCCATTCATCTCGCGCATCTCGATCAGGAGCTCGTCGTCGGGCACGTGCGCGTTCTCCACGACCTCCGCGATCGCGAACGGGGTCTGGGCGAGGATCGCGGCGGCCGCGGCCGGGTCCTCGCGGGTCTCGGAGCAACGCTTCGCCACGAGCATCGTGATCGACTGTTCCATCTGATATGTGCGCTCGAGAATCTCGGCGTCCATCGCGAGCTTGTAATCGAGCTGAAGGCTCTCGAGGCACGTCGTGATCTCCTTGTCGAGCTTCGTCAACGAGTTGATTCGCCCGTGCTGGAGGAAAGCGCGCTTGAGCCAGCCCTCCCGTCCAAAGGCGTCGACGGCCAGCTTGAAGTCGCACAGGAGGCCTTTCAGCTTTCGCATCTTCGACTCCACGAGGTCCGCGTTCCCGGATTCGAGCTTCGCGGCGTTCGCGGACATCTGCTGCAACGCGCCGAGGACGTCGACGACCCTTCGCCCGGCCATCAAGACGTCGTCCGACTTGCGCAAGTGCTCGTCGACGGAGCGGAGGATGTCCTGGGCCGCCTCGCAGACCGGACCGATGACCGGCATCACGCGCCCCGCCGTGAGGAGGACGCGGGCCGCGGTCATGCCCCGCGCGACGACGCCCTCCGACTCGCGCATCAGCTGCTGGTACCGCGCGCTGGGCGCGGGCGTCTTCGTCGCCGGCGTCTTCGTCGAGGCGGCCGCAACGTTCCACGCGCCGCCCGCGAAGGCGTCGTCGCGATCCGGAGGCGCCTCGACGTTGAGGTCCGCGCGAGCCGCGGCGGCCTTGGGCCGGCGGCGCTTAATGCAGACGCAGGCGATGGCAACCGCGACGACGGCCGCGACGGCCGCGGCCGCGACGACGATCGTGTCCGCGCCGCCGCCGCCGCCACCGCCGCCGCCGCCTCCGGAACTCGTCGTAGGCCGGGGAGTAGGCAGCGACGTCGGCCGAGGATTCGGAACGGGAGCGGGTTGCGGGTTTGGCGTAGGCCGGGGAGTAGGCCGGGGCGTAGGCCGCGGCGTAGGCCGGGGCGTAGGCTGCGGCGTAGGCCGCGGGGTCGGTCGGGGAGTGGGTCCGGGAATAGACCACACGTAGGCCGAGCCCGAGTCGGAGCCGGCGTCGTCGTTCCAGGCCGCCCCGACGACGACGAGGTCGCCGCTGACGGCGACGGACGTGCCGAACCAGTCGTACGCCGCGGCGTCGCTCGCGACGAGCTTGGCGACCTGCGTCCAGGAGGCGCCGGCGTTCGTCGTGCGGAACACGTAGGCCGAGCCCGGTTCGTCGCCGGCGTCGTCGTTGTAGTTGTACGGCGCCCCGACGACGACGAGGTCGCCGCTGACGGCGACGGAGTAGCCGAACCAGTCGGACGCCGCGGCGTCGCTCGCGACGAGCTTGGCGGTCTCGGACCAGGTCGTGCCGTCGTTCGTCGTGCGGAAGACGTAGGCCGAGCCCGAGTAGGAGCCGGCGTCGGCGTTGCACGGCGCCCCGACGACGACGAGGTCGCCGCTGACGGCGACGGAGAAGCCGAATTCGTCGTCCTCCGCGGCGTCGCTCGCGACGAGCTTGGCGGTCTCGGACCAGGTCGTGCCGTCGTTCGTCGTGCGGAAGACGTAGGCCGAGCCCGAGTAGGGGCCGGCGTCGTCGTTGCACGGCGCCCCGACGACGACGAGGTCTCCGCTGACGGCGACGGACGTGCCGAAGAAGTCGCCCGCCGCGGCGTCGCTCGCGACGAGCTTGGCGGTCTGCGTCCAGGAGGCGCCGTCGTTCGTCGTGCGGAAGACGTAGGCCGACCCCGAGGAGGAGCCGGCGTCGCCGTTCCCGTACGCCCCGACGACGACGAGGTCGCCGCTGACGGCGACGGAGCGGCCGAAGTAGTCGTCCTCCGCGGCGTCGCTCGCGACGAGCTTGGCGAGCTCTTGCCCGGACGCCTTCGGGGCGAGGCCCCAGACGAAGAAGATGATGATCGAATACCACGCGCGCATCGTGCAGCTAATGCCCGGGGGCGGGAGTGAGGGCGAGGATGTTCACGGGGGAGCGACACGAGCACCGATATGGACGCACGAGGTGGACGCACGAGATGATGTATGGACGCACGAGACGGATGAAGAGGTGGCCGGAGGCGGCGACCAGGAATAGCGATCGTCGAGGAGCGAGTCCTTGTTTCGTGCAACCGGGATCGAGCAGTAACTCTCGACAACGCTCGCCCGACAATGCTCGCCGGGAATTGCCTTGACGCGTCTCTAAACAGGGGGCCCGGGGAGGAACCGAACGCCTAACCGAGGCGTGAACCGCGGGAGTCGGAGTTTTCAGAGGCTCGGCCTCAGGCTCAGCCGGAGCTTTCCTGGAGCCCCGGGAAGAGGCAGCCGAGGGAGAGTTTGGGTTGGATGGTCTTCACGCAGTTCCAGAAGTCGAGGACCTTGGCGAGCTCGTCGTCGGTCCAGGGGCCGTCGTCGTCCATGCAGATGGGCATGATGTCCATGTAGTCCTTGATCGCGTAGCAGGCGTCGTCGCCGAGCTTGGCGAAGTCGAGCGCGCCCTCGTCGCCGACGATGATGAGCTTGACGTGGTCGAACTTGCCGTCATCGTACGGGACCTCCGAGTCGGCGCCGACGACGAACACGTCGCCGACGAGATCGCACGCCGCGACGAGCTGCCCGATGTCGTTGAGGGGCTCGATGCCGTCGCCGGAGAGGGGGGGGGGGGTCGCGACCGACCAGGCCAGAGATTTGCGCTCCTCGAAGGACCAGGCCGCGCCGCCGTTGCTGTCCGTCGTCGCCGCCGCCGCCGTCACCGTCGCGTTCGCCTCGTCGCCGTCGCCGTCGTCGCCGCCGCCGTCGTCGTCGCACTGGGTGGAGCTTTGTGAATTGGTTGAAGTAGCTCGCATGTTAACCCAGTCCTTCGTCGTCGTCGTCGTCACCGCCGTCGTCGTCTCCGCCGTCGTCGCCGTCGTCTCCGCCGTCGTCGTCGCCTTGACCCGCGACAGCCGCCCGCCGTCGCCGCCGTCGTCGCCGTCGCCGTCGTCGCCGCCGTCGTCGTCGCACTGGGTGGAGCTCTGTGTTTTGTTGGTTTGAAAAGCTCGCTTCCAGTCCTCCGTCGTCGTCGTCACCGCCGTCGTCGCCTCCGTCGTCGTCTCCATCGTCGTCGTCGCCTTGACCCGCGACAGCCGCCCGCCGTCGCGCCGCCAGGCCGCGCCACCGGTGCAGCCATCGCCGGGAATTGCCGGAACCACCGCGGGATGGGGGTCCTTGAACGAGAGGCAATGGCGAGAACGGTGTGGTGGACACACGTTGGCGATACTCGACGTCGTCGACGGAGAGCCTGACGACGGAGCGCCCGACGACGGAGCGCCCGACGACGGAGCGCCCGACGACGGAGCGCCTCGACGGCGGAGCGCCTCGACGGCGGAGCGCTTCACGATGGAGCGCCTGGCGACGGAGCGCCTCACGGCGGAGCGCCTCACGATGGAGCGCCTGGCGACGGAGACCCTGGCGGCGGAGACCCTGGCGGCGGAGACCCTGGCGACGAAGACCCTGGCGACGTTGAGGCGGACTGCATGGTGTCCCGCGTACGCGTTGTGGGTCGAAGTTTGGAGAAGGGCTGTGGGCCTAGGACAACAGCACGCAGTCGAGGTCGACAAGGGTACGACGGTCCGGGTCGGGCCGCCGAAGTGCAGATGGTGGACCTAGAGGCGCGAATCCAGGATCGCGACGCGGAGATACCTCGCGCGCTGGTCGACGACGAGCGGCGCGAGCTCGCGACATACATAGCCCGAGGAGGAGTACAATGCGCGGAAGAGGGACGGCATAGAGGTACTATGGATCGAGGACGGCGCTCGTGGGGCGATCTAGAAATAAAACCCTGCCTGATAGTATAGTATTTTAGACGCGCGATTTCGTATGTAGTAGAATGTTGCGACTCATTCTTGCGCAGCGTAAAGCGATTGCCGTTAGGAAACTAAAAATTATTCAAGATAATAATACAAGCAACGATGATCGCACATCTTTTTGTGTAGAGAACTATAAGGGTGTGTGACGTTTTACCCTAGGTTTCAAATGTTTGAACCAAATATATAGGGGTGACGTTTTAACCCTGGATTTTAGTCTTTTGCGAAAATAGGTTCACGATCTACGGCTCGGCGACGTTCGTCCTCGTCGACGCGGCGACCGGGGACGAGACGCGCGTGCCGTTGGCGGCGGGCACGGCGCTCCGCTGGCCGAACGAGCGCTACACGCACCGCGTCGACGCGCCGCCCGGCGCGGCGCGCGCGCTCCTCGGGCCCGCGTCCCGGCGCGGCGGCCTCGGCCTCGAGGGCGTGGGGTTTGTTGTTGAGACGATCGATGACGGTAACTTCCACGACGCGGCCACCCGCTGGGTCCAGGGCACGGACGCCGAGTACGGACCCATCGGCGACTGGGACACGTCGAGGGTGACGAACATGGCGAGCGCGTTCCGCCACGCCGCGACCTTCAACGCGAACATCAGGGACTGGGACACGTCGAAGGTGACGGACATGAGCTGGATGTTCCAGGGCGCCGCATATCTCCTCGAGAACCCGGAGGAGGGCTTCGACCCGGACATCGGCGACTGGGACACGTCGAAGGTGATGGACATGCGCATGATCTTCAGTGGCGCCCCGGCCTTCAACACGGACATCGGCGACTGGGACACGTCGTCCGTGACGGACATGAACTACATGTTCAACAGTGCTCGCGCCTTCAACCAGGACATCCGCGCCTGGGACACGTCGAAGGTGATGGACATGCGCAACATGTTCAGCAACGCTGACGCCTTCAACCAGGACATCGGTGGCTGGGACACGTCGAAGGTGATGGACATGAGCCGGATGTTCGACATGAGCTTCGCGTTCAGCGCCGTCGTCTTCGACGCGGACATCGGCGGCTGGGACGTGTCGGCGGTGACGGACATGGGCGGAATGTTCGACGGCGCCGACGCCTTCGACCAGTGTCTCTCCTGGCACGAGGACTATAAATATCCCTTCCCAGCGTGCGGTGATCCGACGGCTACGCCCACGGCCGTCCCCACGGCCATGCCCACGGCCATGCCCACCGCTGACCCAACCGGCGCCCCCACGGGCGCCCCCACGGTTACGCCGACGACCACGCCCTCCGACGCGCCCACGTCCAAGCCCTCCGACGCGCCGTCGGCCAAGCCCTCCGACGCGCCCACGTCCAAGCCTTCGCACGCCCCGTCGGCCAAGCCTTCCGACGCCCCGTCGGCCAGGCCCTCCGACGCGCCCACGGCCAAGCCCTCCGACGCGCCCACGGCCAAGCCCTCCGACGCGCCCACGGCCAAGCCGCCCGGGGTCGCGGGCGAGCTCGACATCGGCGGCATGACCCTCGCGGACGCGGTCGACTACTCCGACGTCTTCGCGGCGACGGTCGCGGCCATCGCGGGCGCGGACGCGGGCGACGTCGAGGTGACGATCGAAAGCGTCGACGGCGTCATCGTCGTCGCGTTCTTCGTGAACGCGGCGTCGGTCTCGAACGCGGACGAGATCGACGAGATACTGGCGAGAGACCTCACGCCGGAGGCCGTCGCGGAGGAGGTCGTCGCGCAGGCCGAGGCGCTCGACGTCGCCGACGCGTTCGCGGACGTCGTCGTTATCGGCGGCGGCGGCGACGCGGGCGCGGTCGTCGGCGCGACGACGACGACCGCCGTCTTCGCGGCCGGCGGCGGCGATACGGGGAAGGACCCCTGCAACAAGAAGAGTTCTCGAGAAGAAGAGGAAGTGCCTCAAGTTCGCAAAGAAGGGCCAAACGCTGTGCCAGTGGGACTCGACGAACAAGTGCCACTCGAAGACGTGCCCGCGGTCCAACGCGGAGAGGAAGCCCTGCAAGAAGGCGGGCGGTTGCGAGTGGAAGAGGGGGCAGTGCGTGGCCTCCTCGGTGGTCTCCTGCAAGAAGCAGAAGAAGGAAAAGAAGTGCACCAAGGCCGGCTGCGCGTGGAACGCGAAGAAGGAGAAGTGCGCGGACTGCGCGAAGCAGAAGAAATCCAAAAAGTGCAAAAAGGCGGGCTGCAAGTGGAAGAAGAGCAAGAAGAAGTGCCTCGCCACGAAGAAGTAGGCCCACGCGCGGAGCCCCCCGACGGTACATGTCATGTTAATAAAGGGCGCTTGGACATCTCGTAGGCTGCGCACGTCGTTAGTAATACTATTAGCCGTGAAGAAATTCGCGGGCGCCGGGAAGTTCGACGCGCGCGGCCAGAAGATGTGGCTCTGCGAGCGCCGCGAGGAGGCGACCTAGGCGGCGCGCCCCGGGCTAGGCGCCCGCTTAGACGCCCCGGCGCCTCTAGCCGAAGGTCTTCTCGAAGTCGGCCTTGAGCCGCAGGATGATCTCGTCCTCGGACATCTGCTTCACGGCGACGCCGTCGGAGTAGTCCGCGCGGACCGCGCGGAGCCGCGTGGCCGCGGCGCCGTCGATCGTCGGCCGCTCGGCGCGCAGCAGCACGCCGCCGGCCTTGGCGCGCTTCGGCGCGCGCTTGTCGTCGAAGAGCAGGTCCGCGCCCGCGTCGTCGCCGAAGACGTCGACGGGCGTCGTGAGCCGCCGCTTCGCGCCGTCGCCGCGCCAGAGCGTCGCCCACTCGCGCGCCCAGAGGACGACGTCGTCGAGGGGCGCGTCGACGTCGAGGCGCGCGAGCTCCGGGCCCCTGGCCTTGAGCAGCAGATCCCCCCACCGGCCGTCGGAGCACGCGCCGGCGCCGGACACGGTGAGCGTCGCGTTCGCGACGTCCGGCGACGCGCAGCACTTGGCGAGGCACGCCGCGACCAAGTCCGGCGCCGTCGGCGCGTCGAGGCCGTCGCCGACCTCGACGACCGCGGGGCCCGCGGCGCCCGCGGCCGCGCCCGCGCGGACGACGACGGCCTCGCCGCCGCGCGCGAGCTTCGCTAGCGCGAGCTTCGCGGCGCCCTCGGTCGCCCCGGCCTTCTCGAGGGTGCCCCGGCGCAGGAGGAAGGCGAACTCGCCGGCCCGCGTCACGCCCTGCGCGCTCAGCACGACGACGCGCCCGGGCCGGTGCGTCTCGACGAGCCGCTTCGCCTCGGCGTCCGACGCGCCGACGAGCACGAGCGTGCCGACCTCGCCCGCCGCCTCGAGCGCCGCGTCGCCGTAGCCGGCGTCGGCGAGGTTCGCGAGGACGGCCGCGCGCAGGGCGGCGTCGCCGCCCGCGCCCGCGACGAGCACGGGCTCGACGGCCTTGGGCGCGGCGGCCGCCGGCGGCCGCGGCGCCGACCGCGGCCGCTTGAGGCCGCCGGCCGAGTCCATGGTCACGAGCACGTCGTCGTCGTAGTCGTCGAGGCCCGCGTCCGCGAGCTTGGACGGGTCGACGCCCGCGGCGCGCGTGAGCTCGTCCATGCGCGTCTCGAAGGCGCGCGCCTCGGCGGCCATGTCCGCCGCGAGCTCGTCCGCGGCGATCTTGCCGATGGCCGCGTTCTCCTCCTTCATGGCCTCGACCGTCTCCTTGAACTCCTCGGCGCCGCGGTCGAAGATGGACTCGAGCACGCGGCGGTCCGACGCGACCTGCTCCGCCTTCGGGAGCTTGCCGATCTCCGCGCGGAGCGCGCTCTCGAGGCTGCCGGGCTTCAGGGGCTCCTCGAGGTCCTCCTTCTTGTAGTCGCCGTAGGTCGACCCCTCGAACTCGGAGAACTTGTCCTTGAGCATGGCGAAGAGGTCCGCCTCCTCCTCGGGCGTCGGCGCCGTCTTCGCGTAGCGCTCGAGCTCCTCCGGCGACAGGTCGTCGACCTCGTCGCCGCCATCGCTCCAGCGCCGGCTGGGCGCGCGCGCGCGCGGCGCGGGCGCGAAGGCGATTGTTGCTGCGAGGACGAGCGCGAGCGCGAGCGGTCGGCGCGAGCGCGGGCTAGCCATAGCTCCAGGTTTTGGAGCGCAAGATCTTGATCGTCAAGATGCACTTTGCGACATAGGAGGGGCGACATGGTGACGAGGCTGCTTGCCTGGGCAGCGCTCGTCGACCTCGCCAGCGCGGCCGGCGGCGCGCTGTTTCGTTCGGACGACGCGAAACCGAAACGCGCCGCCGCGAGCGCCGGCGACTGGACGGCGAACGCGAAGGAGCTCGTGTTCATCCACGGCTTCGCCCACAGCGGCACGACCATCGTCGGCAGCCGGCTCAAGGCCGTGCGCGCGCCCGGGGGCTCGACGTGCTGGATCGGGCGCAACCTCTACTACGAGGCCCAGTGGCAGCAGACGCTCTACCCGGCGTGGAAGCCCAAGGACGCGCGCAACGAGTACGTCTGCAAGAACCGGACCTCCTGGGACTGGGCCCGCGCGCACACCATGGAGGCCAAGGAGGCGGCGCTGGCGACGCTCGTCGACGACCGGCCCGCGGCGGCCGCGGCGCTCCTCCGCGAGTGGCAGGCCGCGGGCGGGCCGCGCGTCGACTGCCGGACGTGGATCGGCAAGGACCCGCGCTTCGACACGCTCACGTTCCTGCCCTGGCTCTTCCAGGAGCGCGTGTCGACGTCGCTCCTCGTCATGCGCCACCCCTACGCCCAGGTCTACCTGAGCGACCACTCGGGCGGCCTGGCGCCGAAGAAGCTCGACGACAAGCTCGACCAGTGGCTCTCGGTCTGGCGCCACGTCCTCGCCGGCGCGCGCACGCTGGAGCGCTACTGCGTGCTGCGCATGGAGGACCTGCTCTTCGACGACGGCCGCACGGACGCGGCGTTCCGCGCGATCGTCGCGGGGCCGCGCGGCGGCGCCGCGCCCGCCGCGCGGCGGCGGCTCACGATCCACGGCGGCCGCGTCAACTCGAAGTACGCCTTCGAGAAGCCCTACTTCGCGGAGAACGCCGGCGACGCGCGGGCCCGCGCGCCGAACGACGCGAAGCTCCGCGCGCTCGCGGCGACCGTGAACGGCACGTTCGGCTACGACCTTTTTGGGGAAACGGACATGGTCCACGCGCGCGGCGGCGACGGCTGCCTCTTCTCCGCGGGCATCTTCGACGCCGCCGCGCCGGCGCCGGACCCGGCGACCCTGCCGACCTGGACGAGGCGCGCGGGGCCCTGGTCGTCGGGCCTCCGGACGGAGAACTACGGCGCAGACCGCGTCGAGATGCCCGCGAGCTTCCACACGAACTGCCGCCGCTTCTACGGCAAGGGCGACCCGACGGCGAGGCCGGCCTAACGCGGGGTTACGCGTGTCCGGGGAGGGGCCTCTACCAGGCCGCGCGCGTGGCCGCGTCGAAGGACGCCATGTGCGCGAGCCACCGCGCAAAGTTCGGGTACTTGGCCGTGTCGACGGCCGAGCCCGCGTGTTTGGCGTAGAGCTTGGCGTCCTCGGCCGACGGCGCGAAGCCGGCGACGTAGGACTGGACCTCGAGCGCCGCGTCGAGGCCCGCGAGCTCGCCCGCGGGCGCCGCCTTGGGCGCCTTGGGCGCCGCGGGGGCCTTGGGCGCGGGCGGCGCCTTGGGCGCCTTGGGCGCCGCCGCCTTGGCGGGCGCCGCCGAGGGCTTGTCGCCGCCCTTCTTCTTCTTGTCCTTGGAGCTCGCCGGCTTCGCGCCGGGCGCGGCGTACTCGGCCCCGTGGACGTCCGCGTACGTCGCCTTGAGCGCCTTGAGCTCCTCGACGGCCGCGGCGATCTCGTCCTTGGGCGCCTTGGCCGCCTTGAGCGCGCGGATGGCGTCGCCCTTGGCGACGATGGCCGCGGCCTCCGGGTTCGCCGCGGGCGCCGCGGCCGCGGGCGCCGCGAAGGGCTTGCCGTCCATGTCGCGCACGAAGGGGAGGAACGTGAGGCCGTCCATGTAGGGCCAGAGCACCTCGGGCACGTGGACGCCCGTCGGCGTCTGGTTGTTCTCCAGGAGGCAGCAGATCGTGCGGCCGCACGCGGCGAGCGTCGAGTTGAGCATGTGGACGTACTTCTTCTCGCGCTCGCCCATCTTCTTGTTGCCGCAGCGGATCTCCATGGCCCGCGACTGGTAGTCCGTGCAGTTGGAGCAGGACACGAGCTCGCGGAACTGCTTCTGGAAGGGGAACCACGCCTCGAGGTCGTACTTCTTGATCGCCGCGTTGTTGAGCTCGCCCGAGACGATGTTGACGACGTGGTAGGGGAAGCCGAGCGACTGCACGTACTCCTCGGCGAGGTCCTTCATCTCCTCGTGCATCTTCGCCGACTCCTCGAGGTCGCCGACGGTGATGCAGAACTGCTCGACCTTCTCGAACTGGTGCACGCGGAAGATGCCCCAGGTGTCGCGGCCGTGCGAGCCCGCCTCCTTGCGGAAGCACGTCGAGATGCCCGCGTAGCGGAGCGGGAGGTCCGCCTCCTTGAGCCACTCGCCCTTGTGGTACGCGCAGATGGGCTGCTCCGACGTCGCGATGAGGTACTTCTCCGAGTCCGCGTCGCCGCCCGAGACCTTGTAGAGCGCCTCGTCGAACTCCGAGAGCTGCGCGACGCCGGCCATGACGTCCTTGTTCATCATGTAGGGCGGCTGCATGACCTTGTAGGCCCGCTTCCGGAGGAAGCTGATGCCGTAGTTGATCACGGCCTGGTTGAGCATGACGCCGACGTCCGTGAAGAAGTAGGCGCGGTGGCCCGCGACGCGCACGCCGCGCTCGGGCTCGTAGCCGCCGATCATGTAGAGGAGCTCGTGGTGGCTGTGCGCCGCCGTCGGCGCGCACTCGCCCCAGCGCGACACGACCTCGTTGTCCTTCTCCTCGTCCTGGCTCACGACGACGTCGTCGGCGACGAGGTTGCCGATGCCGCTGAAGAGCTTCTTCACCTTCTGCGCCTGGGGCTCGACCCTGGCCTCGACCGCCGCGCGCTTCGCGTCGAGCGCCTTGAGGTCCGCGAGCATCTGCGCCGGCACGTCGGCCTTGGCCTTCTTCAGCGTCGTGATCTCCTTCTGCTTCTTGTTCTTCTCCGCCTTGATGTCGTCGACGTCCTGCGTCAGCTTGCGCCAGGCCTCGTCCTCGGCGATGACCTTGTCCACGAGGCCCACGTCGGCGAAGCGCCGCCGCTGCGACTCGCGCACCTTCTCGGGGTCGCCGCCGCGGTAGGCCCGCAGGATCGAGATGTCCAGAGGCATGGCGGGCGATGCGCGCGACGACGACGACTGCGGCGCGGCGCTGCGACGGCGGTGCGACGGCGATGCGACGACGACGGCGCGGCGCGACGACGACTACACCTCTCCGGCGATTTGCGAGACGGCAAGCGGACGCCAACATGGGGGTGCGCACCTCTTCAATGACTTGGTCAACAATGGCTAGGAATCCTCATGTTGACTTCTGCATCTAACTACACAACCGGTTATCTAGAACTCGAGCCCGTCGGCATGGGCAGCCCATCCCGGGTGAGACGGTGATCGGGCCCGCGTTCGCGTCTCCCGGCGGTTCGCTCGCGCGGCGGCGGCGGCTTGGACCCGGACCCTCACACCGGCGGCGCCGGCGGACGGCGGGGGGCGCCGTTTGCGCGCGCCGAGGCCGGGGCGCCGCGCGACGGGCATAGCGCCCGCCCGATCTAGCCCATAGCGCCCGCCCGATCTCGCCCATGGCGACGCGCGTCAAGGACGGCATCTTTGTCGCCGACGGCGAGTCGAGCCAGGACCCGGAGTTCATCGAGCTCAACAAGATCGGCTACATCGTGAACTGCGCGGGCCGCCAGCTGCCGAACCTGTGGAGCGCGCACGGCGTGCGCTACCTCACGTTCACCTGGGACGACGACCCGAACTACACGCTCTTCGACACGCAGGACGCGCGCTGCTGCGTCGTCGTCGAGCAGATCGTCGCCTTCGTCGACGAGGCGCTCTGCGCGGGCGAGTCGGTGCTGCTCCACAGCTTCCTGGGCACGGGCCGGTGCGTCGCGTGCTGCATCGCCTACTTCATGGCCAAGTACGAGTGGGGGCTCGACAAGACCTGCGCCTTCGTCAAGTCGAAGCGCGGCGACGCGAACCCGAACGCGGGCTTCCTGAAGCAGCTCCGGCTCCTGGACAAGCGGCTCCAGGTGTCGCGGAGCCGCTTGATGGCGAAGCTGCCGCCGCGGGAGCGCCACGACGCCCTCGAGGCCGCGCGGCGGCGCCTCGTGGACTGGGACGCGCGCGTGCCGCGGCTCGCGGCGCGCTTCGAGGCCGACGACGAGGACGCGGAGGACCTCGTCGACGACGAGCCGTTGCTCGTGAACTCGTTCTTCAACGGCCAGGTCCGCGTCGACGTCGGCGCTCTGCGGTCCGCGGCCCACGAGATGGCCCACGTGTCGACGAAGCTGCGCTGGGTCGACGGCGCGTCCAACGGCGACAACGGGCGCCTCATCTCGGGCCCCGGCGGCTCGAACCCCGGCGGCGCCGCGGGGCCGCGGGCGCCCAAGTCGATCCTGAAGAAGCCCCGGGCGCCGCCGCCCGCGGCGCCGGCCCACGGCGTCCACTTTGGGCTCCGCGAGGACGCGACGACGTCCGTGGGCGTGTCCAACTACAGCCACGGCACGGGCTTCGAGTCCGTCGACTCGACGGCCGAGAGCCTCTTGCTCCAGCAGCTCGACCGGTCCCACGCGCTCGAGCGGTCCATGGCGCCGGAGCGGCGCCTCCGCGAGCTCGTGCGCGACGTCGAGCTCGGCTCGCCGCGGCGCCCGCCGCCCCAGGGCCACCGCGACTCGCTCTTCCTCGCCAAGTACCGCCGCGACGGCGGCGGCGCCGCGGCCGACGACGCGGAGCTGCCCGCGGTCGCCTGGGACGCCCAGGCCAACGGCCAGGCGCCCGGCGGCGCGCCGCCGGGAAACCAGGCGCGGCCCCAGTCCGCGCCCGTGTCGCGCGACCGCGACGGCGGCGCCGCGCCCTTCGGCTCCGCCCCCCCCGGCCGCGCCGGTGCCCAGCCCTCGCGGAAGCCGCGGCCGGGCACGCCGGCGGCGCAGGCGCGGGGCGGCGCGCCCGCGACCCAAAGCCGGGGCCCGCGGCCCCAGGGCCCGCGGCAGCAGCGCGCGGCGCCGCCGCCGCAGGACCGGCCCCTCTACTACGGCGCCGCGTCGCTGTCCATGCGCACGGGCCGGAGCCCGGGCGGCGGCGGGCGGCCGGGCAGCTCGGGCGACCGCCGCCACGTCCACGCCGACTTCCCGGACCCCTTCCCCGCGAACCGCGTCGTCTACGGCGGCCCGCAGCCGCGGCGCGGCGGCGCGGACCGGCCGAGCTCCGCGCCCACGCGGCGCACGCCCGCGGGCGCGCCCAAGGGCGCGCTGCCGAAGCAGCTCAACGCGAAGCACGGCCGCGACGCGTCCATCGAGGAGCTCATGATCCGCGGCGCGACGTCGTCCGCGCGCGGCGCCTCCGACGACCGCCGCGCGCGCGAGCCCAAGGGCCGCCGCGCGCCGCGCGCGGGGCCCGACCCCCTCGCCGAGAGCCGGCGCCCCCCGCGCCACGCGCCGGACCCCCTCGCCGGCGACCGCTGGGCCCAGCCCACGCGCGTCTACGCGCCGAAGCGGACCACGAAGCCCAAGCGCGACCGCGCGGACGTGCCGCACCGCGCCCGGCCCCAGTACTAGGGGCCCGCCCCGGACGCCGCGCCCCCCCGGCGTGTCCCCCGCCGCGGCCCGCTGTTGTATTCTCGATATGCTCCGCTTTTTCTTTTTGTTGAAGTGTGCCTTGCACCAAACATTGAAGCTGCTGTGGCATTTTTGTGCGAGGTGAGCCGCGCCCGGCAGCTCGACGAGCCCCGCGCCAACGACATCCCGGACCGTTTCGGGGCCTCGCCGGTCGTGTGCTCCTCCGCGAGTAAGGAACTTGCGCGATGCCGTCGCTCGACGACGAGTGCAAGGGCGGCGAGTCCAAGGGCGGCGAGTCGAAAGGCGGCGAGTCGAAGGGCGGCGACGACGACGACGTCGACGTCATCGACGTCACGGACGTCATGATCTCGCCCAACGACTGCGACTTCGACGAGCCCCTGCGCCTCGAGATCGAGTTCGGCACGCGGCGGGAGCTCCGCGGCGCGCACTGGAAGGTCGGCTACCTCGTCGACACCGTCGCCGCGACGCGCCACGTCGTCGAGCTCGGCCGCACGGCGCCGGCGGACTACGCCGGGAGCGACTGCTTCTTCGAGTTCGCCGCGGACCGCATCCCCGTGGACGGCATCGCGCCGTCGGAGCTCGCGAACTGCGGCCTCCTGACCGCGACGCTCGTCGACGCGCGCGACCGGGACGTCGTGGCCGTCAACATGGTCGTCCAGGTCACGCAGGCGCCGGGCGGCAAGCTCAGCCGCATGATCTACAGCCCCCTCGGCTGACGGGCCCGCGGCGCCGCGGCGTCGTTATTTTGGGGGGTCGCGTAACGTAGCTCCGTTTCCCCCGGGACTTCGTCGGGCGCGAATCCCATGTACATATGTACAGTCGGCCCCGGCCCCGCGCTCACTCGGCGGCGCGGCGGCGGGGCAGCGCGGCCGCGGCGACGGCCGCGAGGACGAGGGACGCCGCGCACGCGGCGACGGACGCCGCGTAGCCGCCCGTGCGGTCGAACAGGACGCCCGCGAGGACCGGCGCCGTGAGCCCCGCGAAGCCCCAGCCCGTGAAGATGATGCCGAAGGCCTTGGAGAAGCCGCGCGGCCCGAAGAGCGTCGACGTCTCCAGCGGGATCGCGACGGCGTTGACGCCGAACGCCAGGCCCATGCCCCCGAGCGACACGACGAGCGGCGCGACGCCGCCGACGAGGAGCGACGCGCCGAGCGCGCCCGCCGCCAGGAGCGGCGTCGCGATGAGCGCCCGCCGCGGCGACGTCGCGTCGCAGAAGACGCCCGCCGCGAGCCGGCCCGCGAGGCTGCCCGCGGCCATGGCGCCGACGCCGACGGCCGCGGGCGCGCCGCGCGTCGCGACCATGGCCCCGGCGTGGCCGTGCGCGAGCAGCCCCGGGAAGCTCCCGAGCATGAGGCAGAGCCAGAGGATGCCCAGGCTCGCCCTCTCGTCCGCGGGCGCCCGCGCCCGCGCGGCCGCGTCCGCCGGCGGGGGGTCCTCGGCGCCGCCGAGGAGCTCGTCCCAGGTCGTGCGCGCCATGAGCGCGGCGACGGGCAGGGAGAAGACGACGATCGTCGCCGCGAGCTGCCAGAGCGCCTCGGACGCGCCGCCCGCGGCGAGCGCGGTCCGCGTCGCCGGCGACAGGATCGGCGCGCCGAGCGCGCGGAACGAGATGATGACGGACGTCGCGAGGCCCGCGAAGCCCGCGAAGACCGGCGACGTCGCGAACTTGGCGTTGAGCGCGAACGCGACGCCCGAGGCCGTCCCGAAGACGCCCGCGTACGCGAGAGCCAGCGCCGGGAGCGACGACGCCCGGGACGCGGCGACGAGGCCCAGCGCGGACGCGAAGGACGTCGCGAGGACCGCCGCCGGGACGCTCGTGCGGCCGAAGAGCCGCGCGCCGAGCGACGTCCCGGCGGTGAAGCAGCACGTCGCCAGCGAGAAGACGCCCGAGAGGCTCGCGCGCGTGCAGCCGAGGCTCTCCTGGAGGCCCGGCAGGAGCACGCTCCAGAGGTAGAGGCTGCTCGAGACGACGGAGAACGCCGACGCCGCCGAGAGCGTCCGCGCGGCCCGGAGCGCGCGCCGCCGCGCCGGCGCCGCGCGGCCGTCGCCGGCGACGAGGCCGCCGCCGGCGCCGAGCGGCCGTCCGCGCTGCGGCGCGCCGGGAGCCCCGCGGCGGCCGCTCACGCCGGACGTCCGCCCCCTCGCGGCAGCCCCGCGGTGCAAGATGCGACCGGGGGCGGAGGACGGCCGCGCGAGGCCCCGGCGGTGCATCAGGGAGAGCGCGTCCGCCCGCGTCGCGGAGGAGCAGAGCAAGAGCAGCCCCGCGCACCATCGCGACCCGGGAGCCAGCGACGGGGCTGCCCCGCGGGTGCGGGCTAAATCAGCTGACATAGCCTGCTTGTTCGGCCCGACCCGCGAAAAAGGGGCACCATCGGTTGTTTCCCAGATCGAGCACCGCATCATGTCGGTCGAGCAGCGGCTCGTTGGCGATCAAAGGTTTGATCGATACGAGTTGGCTGTACGAGTTGGCTGTCGACGGTGTCGCCTGACCCGCGCGTCCGCCCACCATGCCCGCTCCCTTGACCTACGTGGCCGGCGTCCAGATCGGCCGCTGCGAGTCGCGCGTCTGCGTCGTGCGGCGCGAGGCGTCCGGCGAGCTGACGACGGTGCAGTTCGTCCAGAGCGACACGGGGGCGCGGTCCACGCCCTGCGTCATCGCGCTGAGCGCGACGGGCGAGTACGTCATCGGCGAGGCCGCGGAGACGCAGATGGCGAAGAACGCCGACGCGACGGTGCCGTCCGTGCTCGCGACGCTGCCGCGCGCGGCCGACGGCGCGGCGCTCGCCGAGGCCGCGGCGGCGCGGTGCGCGGCCGCGGGCTGCTCCGTGGCCGTGAGCGACGTCGCCGGCGACGTGGAGATCGTGCTCACGCCGCCGCCGAACGAGGACGAGGACGAGCCGCCGGCGAAGCCCGGCAAGCTCAGGGGCGAGGACGGCGCCGCGAAGGTCCTCGGCCGCCTCAAGTCGCTCGTCGACGACTTCCTCGGCGTCGAGGGGAACGAGGCCCTCTGCTGCGTCGTCGCCGTGCCGTCCACAATCCTCGGCGACGCCGTCGCGATGGCGTCCCTGAAGCGGGCGGCGAAGGCGGCCAAGCTCGAGTGCCTGTCGTGGGTGTCCGAGGGCGCGGCCGTCGCGGCCGCGGCCGCGGACAAGATCCCCAAGCTCGACGGCGTCGACGGCGTCGCCGTGCTCGAGGTCGGCGGCCGCGGCGCGGCCTGCGCCGCCTTCCTCCGCGAGCCGTCGAGCGGCGTGCTGTCGCCCGTCGTCGCGGAGGCGGCCGACGACGCGCTAGGCGGCCACGCGATGGCCGAGGCGCTCTACGGCCACTGCGTGACCTTCCTCAAGCGGCGCCAGAAGATCGACGTCGCCGAGGGCGGCAAGAAGGCCCAGCGCAAGCTGCGCGTCGCCTGCGTGCGCGCCGCGAAGGTCCTGGGCACGGGCGCCGCCGAGGCGACGGTCGAGGCCGACGCGCTCGTCGACGGCGCGGACGCGCGCGTGCGCATGACGCGCGCGCGCTTCGACGACCTCGCGGGCCCCATCTACGCCAAGGCCGGGGCCCTGGGCGCTACGGCGGCCGCGGCCTTTGCCGCGAGCGCGACCAAGCCCGCCAAAATCCTCCCGCTCCTCTGCGGCGGCGCGTGCCGCGCGGCGGCGATCCACAAGGCCTTCGTCGGCGCCTTCGAGGGCTTCGAGCTCGTCGAGGACCCGGGCCTCCTCGGGTCCCAGGTCGAGGTCGACGAGCTCGCGGTCCACGGCGCGGCGACGCAGGCGGCGCTGTTGGCCTTCGGCGCGCAGCCCCTCATCGACGAGGCCGCGACCAAGGTCGCCAAGGGCGCCAAGAAGTACGCCAGCGCCCGCGCCGACTTCTGCCTCGCGACGGCGGCGCTGCCCGTCCTCGGCGGCGGCCTCCGCGTCGCCGCGGCCAAGGCCGCCGCGCTCCCGGCGGACGCGGCCGCCGCGGCCGCGTTCGCGGCCGCCGCGAAGCCGCTCGCGCCCAAGGGCTCGCCCGTGCCGGCGACGCACGCGGCGTCCCTCGAGCTCGCGGGCGACGGCGCCGCGGCCTTCGTCGTCGCCTTCGACGGCGACGCGCCGCTCGCGGTCCTCGACTGCTCGAAGTTCGCGGGCGCTTCGAAGGTCGAGCTCGCCGCGACGCTCGACGAGAAGGCGAACCTCAAGCTCGTCGCCACCGTCGACGGCGACGAGAACCCCGTCTCCCTCGACGTCCCCGCGTCCGCCTAGGAGACGGGGTAAGAAATGACCTCGTGAGGCGGTGTTGTCGTCAACTTGCTCACTCAAGGTTCACGACTGTGAAGCGCGCCGCCGGTCGAGCTCGGGTGGGCTGGTCAAATTGGCTGCGGCCGTCGGACCGGATCGAGGTGACGCGACACCGCGGGCCCGCGCGCGGATCACCGACGTGATGGCGGACGCAGCGTTTGACCTGCAGGGCTGTTCCACGGTTGAGCTGCGTGATCAAGTGGCGCGCACCACCACTACGCTGCTTCGCCTGAAGCGCGAACTCGACGCGCGCACCGAGAAGGCGCCGTACCCCTCTCGACTGCCGCCCTCGCTCGTGCTCGAGTTTCTGCCGATCCGCGATTTGGCGGCGGCGCTGCGCGTTTCGACGACCTGGCGCGATCAGGCTGAGGAGACTTTTAGACGCATCGCCGCGCGGTGCGGTCTAACGCGTCGTTCGACGACCCCGCCCTGGTCAGTTTTGATGCGATCACACCTATTGACATCATGGGTCGAAGCACGCGACATGGACTTTCGCGTTAACGAAGACCTCATGATGGATTATGACCCCCGGTCTACGGAGTTTGAGCATCCTGGAAACTTCGGAGACGAGGATTTCGACGAGGTCAGACAGTTCGACGAGCTCGATTGTTTCGTCATTGGTCGAAGTACGACGCTGGAGGGCGAAGGCAAATGTTTCGAGTTCGAAGTGTCTATATCGAGGAACCCGGAATATAGCGATGCTTGTGGAGTGGCTCTGACCACTGAAGATTATAACAAAAGCCTCGATGAGATACATCCAATGATACATCATATATTTATCTGGAACAGCGACGGTGGTACGTATGACTGGGCCGGTCCAGAACAGATAACTTGCACGCAATTTCTAAAGCCGGGTCGTGACGGTAGTCTTCTTGAGCTATTTGGAGCGCGTGCAAGACTGCAAGTTGCTGTATCTCATCACGGTGATTATCTCGCTTTCCGCCTATCTTCTTTCAAATTGGCTGGCCTGGCTAAAATAAACTGGAAGGAGCTTCACTACGCCAAATGGAAGCCTGCGACACTCCCCCAGCGCCTTCATGTTGCGCCCCTCGTGCGCATTTACAGACGCGGGGAAGATGCGGCGGTTAGGCTCATGCGTCTCCCTCCTGCCGCGCGTTCCTTCCCACTCGCTCCCGCTTTCCCGAACCAGTAGTTGCATCATATCATTAAAGGCGGGGATAAGAAAGGCGCGCCGAGCGGCGCGCGCGGCGCGGACCGACGTCAGACGCCGAAGTCGCTGAAGAAGTCGTCGTCCTTGTCCACGGCGAGCTTCTTGGGCTTGCCCGGCGTCGCGCCCGCGCCGACGGCGCTCGAGGACCGCGACACGGGCGCGGGCGGCGGCAGCGCGGACACGGGCGCCGGGTTCGACGCGGACCTCGCCGGGGGCTCCGGGCGGAGGTCGCCGCTGGCGTTGCTCGCGCCGCTGTGGTGCGAGCTGCTGCCGAAGGACTGCGCGGACTCGGAGCGGCCGAAGCCGCCGTCGTCGGCCGTCGCGAACGAGTTCTGGCTCCCGAAGCCGCCCGAGCCCTGCGACCCAAAGCCCGAGCCCTGGGACCCGAAGCCCGAGCCCTGGGACCCCATGCCGCTCATGGAGCCGGACCGCGAGCCGCCGAAGCCGCCGGAGCCGACGCCGTCCATCTGCTTGCCCGTGCCCAGCGCGCCCGACGACCGCCGCTGCTGGAGGATGGACCCGAGGTCGCTCGCGTCGTCCTCGCGGACCGTGAGGTCCTTGAGCCCCTCGCTGAGCTTGGACCCCCAGGACCGCAGGCCGCCCCAGGCGGCCTGGGCCGTCTCCGCCGTCTTCGCCTTGAGCTGCTGCGCTCTCTCGTCGTCGCCGAGCGCCGCGCCGACGTTGCCGAGGCCCGCGCCCGCCGCGGCGCCCCAGCCCTTGAGCTTGTCGCCGACGCCGCCCAGCGACAGGCCGCCGCCGGCGCCGTAGCCGCCCGTCGCCGGGTTGTAGTCGCTGTTGGACCCGACGCCGCCCATGCCGCCGCCGCCGAACTTGGCGCGCATGCGCTCGCGCGCCTCCGCCTGGAGGCGCCGCTGGCGCGCGACGTACTGGTCCTCCGTCTCGCCCTTGAGGGCCTCGGCGCCCTTGGTGTCGCCGCCGCCGAAGCCCCCGGCGGACATGGACCCGCCGCCCGGCGCGTCGTAGCAAGACGCCGGCGCGGCCTTGCGCTGGGGCAGCTGCGTCGGCAGGGGCTTGCCCTCGACCTTGGCCCGGAGCCGGTCCTTGTAGAGCTCGCTCGCCGGCTCGTGGTACTTGGCGTTGTGGGGCATGCGCGGGTCGACGCCGTGCTTCTTCCAAAACGCGATCAGATCCGCGTTGCCGCCGCCCTTCATGAGCGCGAGCTGCTTCTCGTTCCACGAGTCCATGGTCACGGACCGCACGAAGGAGATGTGGACGCCCATGCCCCGGTGCGCCCCGGAGCACTCGAGGCACATGAGCGCGCCGAAGGTCACGGACGCCCACTGCGGGTGCGGGCCCCCGCAGTCGACGCAGCGGTCGTTGCCGGGCAGGATCTTGATCTCCGCCTGCATCGCCGGCGTCATCGACATGGCCATGGCGGTCGCGGACGGCGCCGGGGCTCGCGACCCGACCCTAAAAGCTGCGCGTCGCCCGGCGTGTCCAGGTGTCGGCTATTTTTTTTGGCGGCGGCGAGGTGCTTTGCCCGGCACCACCAACCCAGGAACGACGTTGAAGGAGACGATGGGCAGTACTTCGTGAGAGGGCAGCCTCGAATGCTCCGCCGCGTGGCCCCGCTCCTCGCAGCCGCCGCTGCGAGCGCGTGGACGAATCTCGGCCCCTGCGGCGCGAACGGCCGCTGGGGCGAGACCGTCGAGGAGAAGATCTTCTTCCTCAAGACGATCAAGACCGCCGGCTCGACGACGCGGTTCATCTTCCTGCGCTTCGCGCGCGGCGAGCGCATGGCGCTGCTGCGGAGCTCGAACCCGGGCCACATCCTGCTCGACTCCACGGGCAGGTCGCAGCGGTGGGTCGACGCGAAGCGCTTCGACGCCGTCGGCGCCGCGCGGCCGCGGCCGGCCGGCGCGTCGCGCTACGACGTCGCGCTCGACCACGCGACGCTCGACGCGCAGGCGCTGGCGACGTACCTCCCGGGCGCGCGCTGGGTGACCGTGAGCCGCGACGTGCCGAGCCGCGTCGTGTCGGCCATCGCCATGTTCCACGGCGACATGAGCCCGCGCGACTACTTTTCGGGCTGCGCGGCGCTCGACCGCGGCCTCTGCCGCGGCGTCGCCGTCAAGCGGCCGGGCCTGTCCGAGAACGTGCACATCTGGAACTCCGTGGCCTGGCAGCTCGGCGAGCGCGCCGCGGCGCCCCCGATCGACTTCGCGCGGCCCCACGCGTCCGTCAAGCGCCTCGAGCGCGCGGACGCGTCGGCGCTCGTGGACCTCGTCGAGGGCAACCACAGCGGCGCCTTCGCCCTCGTCATGCTCACGGAGCGCTACGACGAGTCGCTCGTGCTCCTGCGGTCCATCTTCTGCTGGCGCTGGATGGACCTGCTCACGCAGCAGCCGCCCGTCGCGCCCGTGCAGCAGGACAGGCGGAACCGCCAGGAGAAGCACGACAGGCCCAAGAGCGTCAAGGCGCCGGAGGTCTACAAGGCGAAGAAGACGCACCCTTTCCACTTCGCCAAGGTCTTCGAGGGCAAGAAGAAGGACGACCGCAACGCGACGAAACAACGGAAGCGCGCGCGCGCGGCCCCGCCGCTCGTCGAGGGCGGCATCCCCGGCGCCGTGGCGGCGAACGTGAAGCAGCAGCGCTCGCGCCTCCGCCGGCCCGCCAAGGGGAAGCCGGCGGCCAAGGCCGCGCCGAAGCCGCGCGCCGCCGCGCCGCCGCGGCCGCCGCCGCGGCCGCCGACGCGCCCCAAGGTCGAGACGCGGTCCTTCGTCGCGACGCCGGCGCCGACCCTCGGCGCGCGCGACGACGGCGAGGGCTCGACGCCGGACCTCTGGCTCTTCGCGGCGTTCGGCCTCGCGGCGGCCGCGACGGCCGCGGCGCCCGACTTCAGGCTCCGGGGCCCCGCGGACGCGCTCGGCGCGACGATCACGGTCGCCGTCGCCGGCGGGCTCATCTACGGCGCGGGGCTGGTCATCGCCACCGGCGCCCGCGCGCTCTGGGCGCCCGCCGCGCGCGGCGGGACGCGCGCGCCGCGCGCGGCCGCGCGCGCGCCGCGGCGGCGCCTCGGCCGCGACGCGCTCGACGAGACCGTTTTGCGCCTCAACGCCCTCGACGTCGCCGTCCACGACGCCGCGCGGCGGCGCTTCGACGCGCTCACGGACGCCTACGGCGGCCCGGAGGCGCTCGCGCGCGACGCGCGATTCTACCGGGCCTTCCGCTTCGCCGTCGCCGTCGCCTGCCTCCGCTGCGAGTCGAAGGCGCCCGGCCTCCTGCCGGCCTACGCGGCCCTCGACTGCGCCGACTTCGCGGCCACGTGCGTCGAGCTCCGCCGCGTCGACTTCGTCGACCTCGGCGCCGTCGACGTGGGGAAGCGACGGACCCGCGACGCGCGCGCGGAGGCGGCCATCGTCGAGCTCCTGCGCGGCTGCGCGGACCTGCGCGCCGCGACCGTCTGCCCCGCGGGGCAGCCGAGCCTCTGCGCGACGGGGCCCGTCTGCGAGCCCGGCACGCCCGACCTGCCCGCGAAGTGCGACCTCGGCGAGGCCTACCGCCACTGGCACACGGACTGCGCCGGCGGGGGCCGGAGCATTATTGTATGATGGACGCCTTTTTCCGGGGGAGGCGCAGCGCCTTGAGGAGCACGCTCGGGTCCCGCGAGCGGCGCGCGGCGACCGCGGAGGGCCGCCGCGGCGGCGGCCGGGAAGCGACGACGCAGGCGTCGAGCCCCGCCTCCGGCGGCGTCACCGTCGCGTCGTGCGTCGCATCAAACGCCGCGAGGCACGCGAGGAGCGCGCGCGACGCCGCGCACTGGTCCGCGCGCCGGCGGAGGTCGCAGTGCCACTTCTTGAACGCGACGGGAGCGACGGCGACGGCGCAGGCCGCGCCGAAACCTACCAAGCGTGAACGATTTTCCATCGTTTCCCCAACCAACACCTCTCGAAAATCGTCACCGCCGCAGGACGCTGGCCGAAACCCTGCTCGATGGCTCGTTTGCCGAGACGCAGGTCGAGGATCGCCGGGATGATGACGTCGTCGCGGTCGAAGACGCTGCGGTTCGCGCGCGTGCGCCCGTGGACCTCGAAGGGCACGCCCGCGGTCTCCGACGCGTAGCCCAGCGTCTCGGCTCGTTCGACGACGAAGGACGGCCACAGCAGCTCCTCGACGGCGACGCCCTGGTGGTCGGGCACGACCATGGCCGCCGCCGCCGCCGGATTCGCCAACCTCGTGGCGCCGAGGAGCCAGTCGACGAAGGCCAGAGCCGCGGCGCGCGGGTAGAAGGACCCCTCGAAGAACGCGAAGCTCATGCGATGGCGGCCCGTCGCGTTGAGGAAGAGCGTCGCGCCCCCGAGCCAATCGCGGCTCCAGCCGCTGTCGCGGTGGACGCCCTTGAAGTAGGGGTTCCCGCGCGCGTCGACGGGCACCTGGGAGGCAGGCGGTCCGGCGACAACCGAAGGAAAGGGGACGCGGTGCAGATGCGGAGTGGTGGTCGATGCGCGAGTAGCCGTGCGCGGCGACGTGGCGCTCCAGGACGCCGCCGCCGACGAAGAGGCGCGACGACGACGCGAGGAGCGCGACGTGGCTGAAGGCGACGGACCGCGCCGCGAAGCGCACGTTGGACGCGTGCTGCCGCGTCACCATGCCGGAGCCGCCGCTCGTCCGGAGGCGCTCGTCGTTGAAGAGCACGCGGCCGTTCGGCGACGCCGCTACGGCCGACGACGCGTTCGACAGGTGGACGACGACGCGCGTCGTCGGCAGCGTGAAGGCCGCGACGTTCTCGATGGCGTCCTCGACGTAGGACCGCTGCTCGTAGAACGTGATGGAGAGGAGGAGCGCGAAGTCGGGCGGCAGCGGCGCCGGCGCGCCGTCGGGGCACGGCGCGCGCCAGAGCGCCGCGCGCGACCGGTTCGAGACGCGCCACCACTCCTTTTTCGCGCCTGGCGTCTTGCAGTAGGCGCAGAGCTGCGAGCGCGCGCACGCGCCCGCACGCGTGCATTTCCTTCCCCATTTATGGGACGACGTCTGCTCGCAGTAGAACTCGTGCGCGTGAGTTGGAGGGAGCTGCGTGCGATTCACGAAGCAGCCGAGCGATCTATCAGTCGTCGTCGTTGGCAGCGCGCCATGCAGCAGGCATAGTGCGAGCGCCTGGCGCAGGCCTTGCATCATTTATGGCAGCCCATATCGCAGAGCTCGAGTAGGCCTTGCATCATCTATGGCAGCCCATATCGCAGACTGGCTCGAGTGCAAGAACAACTTGAAGCCTAGAAGCAGTTGGCAAAGCAGTTTGAGCGCAATGGGCAGCCCGTCGGAGGCAGATGTGCCGGAGTGGGCTGCGATGCTGTCCACGCCCCGGCGGGCGCTCCTCGCGGCGATGGAGATGGACACGAAGGTCCAGGGGCAGAAGGCGGCGGCGGCGGCGACGCCGTCCTGGCGGGCGCCGGACAAGCTCGCCGCGGCCCTCGCGCGCGACGACAGCCCGCTCAAGGACGGCGTCGTCGACGAAGCGGAGGTCGCGACGGCGCTCGCGGCCCTCCAGGAGAAGCTGCGCCTCTCGACGGGCGGCGGCGCGGCGCCCTCGCCGCCGCGGCCGCCGGACCGCGGCGCCGACGAGCCCGCGGCGGCGGCGGCGGACGACGGCTCCGTCGACGACGTGCTCGCGCGGCTCGAGGCCTGGCGCGCCCGGGAGGCCACGCCGCCTTTGAGCGCACGCACGCCGCGGAGCGCCGGCGAGTCCAAGGCCGGCGACGAGGCGCCGTTCCCGGCGATCGCGTCGCTCGAGGACGAGGAGCGCAAGCTCCAGACCGTGGCCTTCGACGAGGAGGAGCGCAAGCTGCGCGACGACGCCGCGGAGATGAGGAGCGCCGTGTCGTCGCTCGAGGCGTGGCGCGAAGAGCGGCGGCGGGAGACGGCGGCGCTCGAGGCGCGGCTCGCCGCCGAGTACGAGCCCGGCGACGCGGGCGGCTGGGCGACGCGCGCGGCGACGGGCTTTGAGGTCTTGGACCTCGGCGAGCTCGAGTCGCTCCACGACAAGGCCCTCGCGTCGGCGCGGGGCGCCCGGGAGCGCGTCGCGGGCCTGCTCGCGGGCGAGGGGGACGCCGCGGGGCCCGCGCCGTTCGGCGTCCTCGACTACGGCGGCGACGCGCTCCGCGAGGCCGCGGACCTCGAGCTCCGGCAGCTCGAGGAGAACCTCGCGAAGCTGCGGGCCGAGGCGGAGACGGACTAAAGGCCGTCCTTAGCGCGCTGGTGCCGGTCGCGCCTCCGCCGCCGCTTGAGCTCCTTCTCGTACGCGCGCTTCTTCTTGCGCTGCTTCTTCATGTCGCGGCTCACGAGGTCGGACACGGCGACGTCCTCGGCGTGGGCCTGCTCGAAGAGGTGCTGCGTCTTGCCCTTGCGGGCCATCTCCAGGAAGTGGTGGATGCCCACCTGCTTGTGGTCGCCGGCGTAGTGCGTGTAGAGCTCGAGCGCGAGCGCGAGGTCCGCCTTGCCCGCGAGGTCGTCCAGCAGCTTCTCCGACGGCTCGTCGCCGAGAAGCTGCGCGAGGTCGCGCTCGAGGCGGTAGTGCTGCGCGTCGATCTTCAGCGACGAGAGCTTGTGGTCGTAAAAAAAGTGGTGCGGCGCCGCGACCTCGTCCGGGCACTCGCCGCCGCAGATCTCGTCCATGTCGAACATGTTCATGTGCCACGTGACCTCGATGGTCTCGCAGGCGCGCTTCGCCGACGTCTTCCCCTTGTGGCTGATGAAGGGGTGGTGGTGCGTGTCCTGGGGCGCGTTCGCCTCCTCCTCCGACTCGAAGTGCGGGTGCGTCTGCTCGCGGCAGATCTCCGTGAAGTACTCGCCGGGCATGTAGGCAGATGTCCTTGCGAGCGTGATCGCAGCGGCGAGCGCTGCTCGCGGCGCGAAATCGGCTGCCATAAGCGCTCGCTTGAAGTGCTTGTGAACATCTGTTGAACTGGAATTGCCACAAGGAAGCATGGGAGGACTGTCGCTTGGCCTGTCGATCGGTTTGGCCCTCAGCGCGGCGGCCAGCAGCGCCGCAACCGATGGCGCCGCGGCGGCCAGCAGCGCCGCGACCGATGGCGCCGCGGCCTCGAGCCGCAGGAACATCATCCTCATCCTCACCGACGACCAGGACATCGAGCTCGGCGGCATGACGCCCATGCAAAAGACGCAAAAGGAGTTCGCGGGCGGCGTCAAGTTCGACCACTTCTACGTGAACACGCCCATCTGCTGCCCGTCGCGCATGCAGCTGCTCTCCGGGCGCTACGGCCACAACATCCGCGACGCGCGGCTCGACCCGTTCCCGGACGGCGCGGCGACGTGCGGCGACGAGCCCGTGGAGTCGCCGCGCGTCGGGAGCTGCGGCTGCATGCGCATGGACTGCTCGCGGGCCTTCGAAGAGGCGACGTACGCCACCGCGCTCCGGCGCTCGGGCTACGCGACGGCCTACGTCGGCAAGTACCTGAACCCGCCGGCGATGGTGCGCTACTGCCGCAACGAGACGCTCGGCCCCCTCGAGCACGGCTGGCCGCCGGGCTGGGACGCGTTCTTCGGCATGTGCGACCAGGCGAGCACGCCCCAGGGCGCCTACTACTCCGTCAACTGGGTCGACTCCGCGGCCGGGGCCGTCGTCTTCACGGGCTCCGAGCCGGCCGACTACACGACGTCGATCGTCGGCAACCGCTCCGTCGCCTACCTCAAGTTGGCGCCGAAGGACCGGCCCTTCTTCCTCGCGGCCGCCGTCCGCGCGCCGCACGCGCCGCAGCTGCCGCCGCCCTGGCACGCGTCGGCGTTCCCGGACGCGCGCGTGCCCCGCGACGGCGCCTACAACGCGACCCCGACCGGCAAGCCCTACTGGATGTCCCGGAACCCGCCGCTGAGCGACGAGGACGCCGCGGAGTTCGACGCGGTCTACGCGGACCGCTGGCGGGCGCTCCTCGCGGTCGACGACCTCGTCGCGGGCGTCTTCGACGAGCTCCGCGCGTCGTCCTTGATCGACGACACCTACGTCTTCTACACGAGCGACCACGGATATCACATGGGCCACTTCCGTCTCCCCCCCTTGAAGATGCACAAGTACGAGTTCGACATCCGCGTGCCGCTGCTCGCGACGGGCCCGGGCCTCGCGCCGGCGTCGCGGCGGGAGGTCGCGGGCTTCGTCGACCTCGCGCCGACGTTCCTGGCCATCGCCGGCGCGGCGGCGGCGGACGGGGCGATGGACGGGACGTCGCTCCTGCCGCTCCTCGAGGACGACGACGACGTCGAGTGGCGGGAAGAGATGCTCGTCGAGTACGCGCCCATCACCAACTGGCTCGACGGCGCGCATCGCCGCGTCGACGACGCGCCCGACAACAATTTTCGGGCTTTGCGGATCGTGTCGGAGCGCGAGAACGCGCTCTACGCGGAGACGACGTCCTTGGTCGACTACGACTTCCAACACCCCGACGAGTTTTTCATCGAGTATTACGACCTGCGCCACAACTACGACCCGCACCAGCTCCACAACCTCGCGGACAAAACGAGCCCCGGGCACCTCGCGGACCTCCGGAGCCGCCTCGCGGCCGCGTGGGGCTGCGCGGGCGCCACCTGCCCCTAGCTTAGGGCGCGTTATGACCAAAGGCGAGGAGCCGCGCCCGGGCGCCGGCGTCGAGGCCCATGCCCGGCCGCGCGAGGACGACCCACTCGTGCCAGTCGCCCTCGATGCGGCCGCCCTGCATCATGCCCGACCGCAGCGCGCCGGCGACGTCGTCGGCGACGTGGAGGACCTCGAGGCCGAACCTCGCCGCCGCGGCGCGCAGGCCCGCGGGCGAGTGCCAGGAGACCCAGGGGTAGACCTGCGAGCGGCGGCGGTCGCGCGGCGCGCGCGGCGTTCGCCGACGCGGGCGCGCGGACCCACTCCAGGGACCCGTCGCTGAGGCAGTCGTCCGCGTAGCGCCGGTCGCCGCCGCCGCACTCGGCGCAGACGCAGAGCGACCTAGCGGGAGAGGTTTCCGGCGCGGAAGAAAAGGACGACGCTCCCGCGGAACGGACGCGGAGCGCGACGCGACGGCGATGCCGTCGTCGTGCAGGAAGGCGCTCGTCGCCTCAAGGTAGGCGTCGAGCGTGCGGCTCCCCGCGTGGGAGAGCACGGAGTGGGAGTAGACGAGGTGGACCCTGGACCCCGGCGCGAGCGCGGGCGCAAACGCCGCGTTGTGCGCCAAAAACACCTGGCCGTGGTCGAGCCGCGCCTGCAGGGCGGACCAGTGGGGCCCGTCGCCGCGCCGCGCCCGGCCGCGGCCCGCCTCGGTGAGGTAGGCGTTGGGCTCGACGCACGCGTAGTCGCCGACGAGCGGCGCCCGCGAGCCCGCGAGCCACGCGGCGAGCTCCATGGTCCCGCACCCGAACTCGAGCACGTCGATGTCGGCGCCCGCGCCGAAGAGCGCGCCGAGCAGGTCGGCCTGGCGCCGCCAGGACGACGCGACGCCCGCGCCGCCCTGCTTGAACTGGCCGCCCGTCGTGTACGCGGTCGCGGCGTCGTAGGCGCCCGGCGCGTCGCCCGGCGCGAAGTAGAGCTGGTTGAGGTTCGCGGCGCTCGCGTCGTCCCACGCCACGGTGAAGACGACCTCGTCGTAGGCGCCCGGGCCCGCGACGCGCCAGAGGTCCGTGATGGGCGTCGTCGGGTGGGCGTCGAGGTAGCCCGCCGGCAGCGCGATCGCGGACACGCTCCGCTGGCCCGGCTCGCAGTTGGCGAAGCCGACCGTGACGTCGAAGGCCGTCTCGCCGGTCTTTGGGATGGGCCGGCAGTGGAAGTTGTGGAGATGATGCAGCCAGTCGCCGCAGGGGCTCATCGTGCAGAGCTCCAGGGCCCCCCGGCCGTCCGCAGCGACGGCGACCGTGATGAGGGCCGTATCGTTCGTCGTCACGGCCGTCTGCGATACGGCGGCCTCGACCATGGGGGTCGCGGCGACGTCGAATTCGAGCGTCGCGGACGACGAGCCGTCGGCCGCGTAGACGGTGAGCGCGTGGGCGCCCGGCGCGCAGTGACCGAAGCCGTGGTTGAGCTGCGACGTCGCCGCGGGGCCCACGACGTCGACGCAGGCGTCGTCGCCGCCGCCGCAGGTGTCGTGGAGGCACACGGCCGCCGGCGCGTCGTCGTCGCTGCGGTAGGCGACGCCGACGCTGACGGCGCGGCTCCGGCGCACGCGCTTCGGCACGTCCTCGGCGCCGTCGAACCAGACGACGGGGCGCGCGGCGGCCGTCGCTGCGAGGAGGAGCGCGTGCGGTTTCATTCGGATCCGGCGCTATGGGCTGCCCATTGCGCGCGCGACGGGCTTCACGATCAGTGCACGAGATGTTCACGATTAGCCTTTGGCGCCGAGGCGGCATGAGCGCCGTCGGAGACGCGAACGCGGCTGCTGACCTCGACGCGATCGCGGTTTTCCTGCGTGAGTCCGGCCACGAAGATGCTGCGGGGCCGCCGCGCGCGCAAGACACGTCGGACGCGACGGTCAAGCTCGACGCCGTCGTGTCCTTCCTGCGCGACAACGGCTACGGCGCGGCGGCGGACCTCGTGCGCACGTTCCCGTGGCGCCGCCTGGGAGCCTACGTCGGCGACATGATGCGTCGCATGCCGCCGGACACGCTGGCGTTCGTCGCCTCTTGGGCCACGCGCGGCGACCTGCTCGCCCTCCGCGCTGCGTTCGCCGCCGGCCGCGACGCGGCGCGCCACGCCGTGACCAGCCATCAGGACTGCTATGAATTCGAATTCGCGGGTGTGTCCGCGCTCGCGATCAAGGCCATCGGACGCGTCTTCGGCGGAGGCTGTCGACGACTGCAAATAATGTACGCCGAATCTCCTGCTACAGCCTCGCTCCAGTCCTTTGTCACAAATACAAATCAAAAGCTGGAGGAGCTTACCCTCTGGAACATACCTCTGTCGCTGGAAATTCTCCGGGAAGTGTGTCGAGCTTGCCCACGGTTGGCAAAGCTAAACGTCCGTTTTTGTACTACTCTCCGCATCTCAGCCGGCGTCGTCGAGATCGCGAGCAGCCTGGCTTCAATTTGTCCTATGATCTCTGACCTTGTCCTGCCGCCCGGACCAAGAGAAACGGCACGAGGTGCAGCGGAATCCTGGGCGATGAAGTTTCCGAAGCTGAAGGTGCTTCGCTTTGGCACCGGCTACGTCGACTATCGTCCAGAGCTCTTCGACCAAATACGCGAAACTGTGGCCAAATGCTCCCTCGCTACGGAAGTGGACCTATGTGCGTGCGTGGTGCACTCCGATCTGATCGAGTGTCTCGTGCGGAGCCCCCTGGATACGCGTCTGACGCGCCTTGTGCTCGTCGAAGCGCAAATATCAGTCCCAACGATCTTGGCAGCGGCGAGAGGTTTCCAAAAGTTGCGAGACTTGGAGCTGCCCGACGACTTCGATTGTGATGCCGGCTTTTATTTACTCCTCTACCAAGCTCGACCGGAAATCGCACGACTCAATGTCGGCTGCGGATCCAACATCGACGATGCCGTCGTGGAGTTCTTGTGCAACAAGTTTCGTTTGGAGGTTCTCCGGTTCGCGGTAAACCGCAATTTGACGGTCGGGGTCATCAATGCGATACTCGATTCAACCTCGTCCAAAACCCTCCAAGAAGTCGAATTCGACTACGCGTGCTGCTCCCTCGAGGGATCGGAATTCCTTTGTCTCGCGGACGGATGTCCCTCTCTGAAAAGGATGACCTGGAACCTTGCAGACGCGGACGAATATCGACCAATCCAGGCCACGGACGTTCGACGCCTCTCCGACCTACTCGAGAGTCGCGGCGGCCAGCTCGTCACTGATATCCCCAGGGAAGAGTGGCGGTAAAAATTGAAACGTCAGTCGCTATCGTCGTCGCCGCCGAAGTTGTTCCACTTGTCGTACTTCTTGTGGAAGCTCGACGGCCCCGTCGCGGGCCCCGCCTGGACGACGGGCTGGGGCGGGAACGCGTTCGGCGGCAGCGTCGGCATGGGCTGCGGCGGCGGCTTGGCCTTGGCCTTGCCGGCGTTGGCGGCGAGCGTGCCGTCGAGGCTCGCCTTGGCGCGCGCGCGGCGCGCCTTGGCGCGCTCGAGCGGCGAGAGGTGCGCGTCGTCGACGACGACGCCCGCGGGCGCCGCGGCCGGCGCGCTGTAGCGGTCCGGCTCGTCCTCGAGGACGCCGAGGTCCTCGACGACGCGCCGCGCGGGCGGCGGCGGCGCGTTCGCCGCGGCCTCGACCTCGCGCGGGAAGACGGCGCGCAGCGCCTGGCCGTCGACGCCCGCGGCGTCGACGGTGAGGCGCGGGTCGCGGTGGTCGAGGATCCGCCCGCTCAGCGTCTCGAGGTGCGCGACCGTCGCGTCGGGGCACCCGGAGCCCGCGCGGTACCGCTTCTCGTACCGCTTCAGCAGGTCGCCGACGGTCGTGTTCGGGCCGTCGACGCTGATGCGGATCCCCGGCGTCGGCTGGGGCGCGGCGCCGGGCACGACGCGCTTCACGCGGTCCGTGATGATCGTCACCGTCGCCGCCTGGGCCATCGCCGTGCCCTTTTGCGGGTGGGAGCCCCGGTAGTAGTCTTCCACGGCCTTGGGCCCGCTCTCCTGGCCGATGCGCCAGCCGGACATGGTCGAGCTCTGCGAGACGAGATAAGTTTGAAGCGCTGCGCACGCGAGGGGTCGGGGATCGTCGAGCGTTGCACGAGACGAGGCACCGAGAGCCGCTCTATTGCGAGCTCACTGTGGCGAAGCAGCTCCTTTCCGTCAACATCGCGCCGTCTCGATGCTGAACCCCTTTCAGCCGCCCTATTTAACCGCCCCTGAAACAACACAAGAAAAAGGCGCCATGTACACCGCGGGTCGCCCGCGAGCCTAGTGGCTCCAGGTCGGCGGGTCGCCGTCCGCGGGCTCGTAGTCGAGGAAGCGGCTCTGGAACTTGGGCGTGGGCTCGCGGCAGCTCTCGACCTGGCCGAACATCTTGTAGCGGTACTTGGCGACGAGCTTGTAGCCCGCGTCGCGGAGCGGCGCCGGCAGCAGGTGGAAGGCCGCGACGTAGCGCGCCGGCGCGTCGAGGAGCGCGAAGACGCGGAGCGCGGCGTCGGACCGCGTGTAGATCGCGCCGTCCTGGACGAGGACGACGGTCGTGAGCGCCTCCGCGCCGCCCTCGGCGTACTGGCCCGCGCCGTGGAAGCGCAGCAGGTCCCCGTGGCGCTGGATCGCGCCGAACTTGATGCGCTTGCCCGAGTCGTGGTCCGCGACGAAGCCGACGAAGCCGTCGCAGAGGTTGCAGACGCCGTCGAAGAAGAGGAGGCTCTCGACGCCGGGCTTCGCCTCGATGGCGCTGGGCACGACGAGGCACGTGTACATGACCGCGCCGAACGATGCGATGGTGCCCACCATGAACGTGAAGGAGAAGGCCTTGGGCATCGTGTCGCGCGCGCGGGAGCGCAAAGATGGGAGCGATGCGGCGTCGAGCGATGCGCGCGAGATGCGAAAACCGTCGCGCGGCGCCGCGCAGCACAGCGGTGGTGAGGTTTCTGCCGCGGAGCAGCGTGATCTCGACTGCGGTAAAGTTGCACCTCGCAGTGCCTTTTAACGACTCTCGCGCTCTCGGCTGCCTCCCCGCCCACCACAGGCCGCCTCTTCGAGAATATGGCTCGGTGGCTGCTCTGCTGCGCCGCCGTCGCCGCCGCCGCGGCGCGGGTCGTCGAGGACGGCGCTTCGCGGCGCGCGGCGTCGGGCCTCGCGGGCCTCAACGGCACCTGGCTCCGCGACGCCATGGACGACGGCAGCCGCTTCGTCGTGCGCGGCGCGAGCTACGGGTCGACGGCCGCGGCGCGGTCGTCGCTCCTGGAGACGCTCACGCGGCCCTTCCACGACAAGTGGTTCGAGCCGCACGCGTCGCTGCGGGGCGACGGCGGCGCGCGCGCGGCCGCCGCGGCGGCGCCGTCGCTCGCGGCCGTCGCGCGCGGCCCCGCGCGGCTCTCGGCCGTGCTGCGCCTCGAGACGCTCGGGCGCGGCGCCGCCGACGCCGCCGCGGCGGCGGCGGCGGCGGCGGCGGCGGCCCTCCTGCCGCCGGGCGTCTTCGACGGCGCGCGCGGCGACACGGCGCACGTCTACGTGTCCGCGCCCGGCGCGGCCGCGCTCGCGAACCACACGGACGTGACGGACGTGCTCGTCGTCCAGCTCCGCGGGTC